TGCGATTTTGCATTAAAGTCACTAGGGGAGTTTTTGCATGAATGTCTATGAGACGCAACTTTGCATGAAAGTCTATGAGATGCGATTTTTGTATTGAAGTCACTAGGGGCATTTTTTGCATTGAAGTCGATGTGGAATCGACTTTGCATGAAAATCTATGAGACGTGATTGTGCATTGAAGTCACTAGGGGGCGTTTTTGCATGAATGTCTATGAGACGCGACTTTGCATGAAAGCCTATGAGATATGATTTTGCATTGAAGTCACTAGGGGCTTTTTTGAATGAATGTCTATGAGGCATAACTTTGCATGAAGGTCTATGAGATGTGATTTTTGCATTGAAGTCAGCAGGGTGCATTTCTGCACGAATGTCTATGAGACACAACTTTGCATGAGAGTCTATGAGATGTGATTTTGCATGAAGGTCTATGAGATGCGATTTTTGCATTAAATTCAGTAGGGTGCATTTCTGCATGAATGTCTATGAGATGCGACTTTGCATGAAAGTCTATGAGATGCGATTTTTGCATTAAAGTCAGTAGGGTGCATTTCTGCATGAATGTCTATGAGACGTGACTTTGAAGTCACTAGGGGCATTTTTGCATGAATGTCTATGAGACGTGACTTTGCATGAAGGTCTATGAGATGAGATTTTTGCATTGAAGTCACTAGAGGCGTTTTTGCATGAATGTCTATGAGACGTGACTTTGCATGAAAGTCTATGAGACATGATTTTGCATTGAAGTCACTAGTTGGGGTTTTTGCATGAATGTCTATGAGACGCGACTTTGCATGAAAATCTATGAGACGTGATTTTGCATTAAAGTCACTAGAGGAGTTTTTGCATGAATGTCTATGAGACGCAACTTTGCATGAAAGTCTGTGAGATGCGATTTTTGCATTGAAGTCACTAGGGGCATTTTTGCATTGAAGTCAATGTGGAATCGACAATGCTTGAAAATCTATGAGACGTGATTGTGAATTGAAGTCACTAGGGGGCGTTTTTGCATAAATGTCTATGAGACGCGACTTTGCATGAAAGCCTATGAGATATGATTTTGCATTAAAGTCACTAGGGGCATTTTTGAATGAATGTCTATGAGGCGTGATTTGCATGAAGGTCTATGAGATGTGATTTTTCACCACACTAAACGCCTCAAACGTCGCAGTCGCGCACTGGAGAGACTGTGGCGCAAAACCAGGTCCCCTCATACTTTCTCCCTCTACAAATCTGCATTTCTTATCTACACCTCCTCCCTCCACGCCGCCAAGCAGGCCTACTTTGTTAACCTAATAAACACCCTCTCCTCCTCCCCCCGCCGACTCTTCTCCACCTTCAACTCCCTGCTCTCCCCCCCCCCCCCTCCTCCACTCAGTACCTCTCTCACCGCCCACGAGATTGCCACCCATTTCCACAACAAGATTGACGCTATCCGTAAGGACATCGTCAGCTTGCAATCTACCTCCCCACCTAGCCTCCTCGCCCCGTCACCCCTTCATCTCCCCCCTCCTCTGCCCTCACAACCGCACTGCCCCCCTCCTCTCCCAATGCCCCGCCCACCATAACCCCCCCCCCCCCCGGACTGCACTCCCTCAGCCCTGTCACTACTGAGGAAGTCGCCAAAGTCCTCTCAAAAGCCCGCCTCACTACCTGCCCCCTGGACCCTATCCCCTCTCAACTCCTCCGGTCACCCCCCTCTTCCCTCATCCGCTCCCTCACCCACATCTTCAATCTCTCCCTCTCTACTGGCGTATTCCCCTCCCCCCTAAAGCACGCGCATATCACCCCCATCCTCAAAAAGCCCTCCCTGGATCCCGCGGACTCCAACAACCTCAGACCCATCTCCCTGCTGCCACTCACCTCCAAGCTCCTTGAACGCTTAGTCTACGATCGCCTAAGCGCCCACCTTACAGACAATAACCTCCTTGACCCTCTACAGTCCGGCTTCCGTCCCCTACACTCCACTGAAACTGCCCTCCTCAAAATCACTAACGACCTACTCAACGCCAAAGCCAAGGGCGACTACTCTGTCCTCCTTCTCCTGGACCTCTCTGCGGCCTTCGACACAGTTGACCACCCCCTCCTCCTTAATAAACTACTCTCCCTTGGCATCGGAGATACTGCTCTCTCTTGGTTCTCATCCTACCTATCCCGACGCTCCTTCAGTGTCACCTACAATGGTGCCACCTCCCCCTCCCTCCCCCCTCTGTTGGGGTCCCCCAAGGCTCTGTCCTAGGACCCCTTCTCTTCTCCATCTACACCTCCTCCCTGGGCAAACTCATACAATCTCACGGCTTCAACTATCACCTCTATGCTGACGACACCCAAATCTACCTCTCCACCCCTCACCTCACCCCCACTATCTCCGCCCGCATCACTCACCTCCTAAATGACATCTCAGACTGGATGTCGCTACATTTCCTCAAGCTCAACCTCTCCAAAACTGAGCTCCTCATCTTTCCCCCTGCCAACACCCCCCCCCCCCCCTCCTATCCATCATCACCAACAACTCCACTATCACTCCCGCCCCGCAAGCCAAAGTCCTTGGCATCATTCTTGACGCGAACCTCTCCCTCCAACCGCATGTCAAATCACTCACAAACACATGCAGGCTCCATCTTCGCAACATTGCCAAGATACGCTCCTTCCTCACCCCAGACACCACCAAACTTCTAGTACACTCCCTCATCATCTCACGCCTTGACTACTGCAACTCCCTCCTCACTGGCCTACCCAAGTGCAGGCTCTCCCCGCTCCAGACCATCCTGAACTCAGCTGCCAGACTCATCCACCTCACCACCCGCTCCACCTCTGCCACCCCCCCCTCTGCCTCTCCCTCCACTGGCTCCCGATTGCCCAACGCATCAAATTTAAACTCCTAACCCTGACCTACAAAGCCGTTCACAACACTGCCCCTGACTACCTCACCAACCTTATCACCAAGTACCACCCTACCCGTACCCTTCGCTCCTCACAGGACCTCCTTCTATCCTGCTCCCTGGTCTCCTCCTCCCATGCACGACTGCAGGACTTCTCCAGGTCCTCCCCCATCCTCTGGAACTCACTGCCCCAATCCATCAGACTGTCGCCTTCCCTATTCACATTCAGGCGCTCCCCCAAAACCCATCTCTTCAGGGAAGCCTACCCCACCCTCACCTAACGGCCATCCTCCCTCATTCCTCCCACCACTTCATCCCCGTCAGCCACTTCCTACTGTACCTTTACCCCCTCCCTCCTAGATTGTAAGCTCGTAAGAGTAGGGCCCTCTTACCCCTCGTACGTTGTTTGTTGTTGTTGTACTGTGCCATGTATTGTCCCCCCTATTGTACAGCGCTGAGCAAACCCTTTGGCGCTATATAAACTCGTAGTAATAATAATAATAATAATAATAATAATTTTTGCATTGAAGTCAGTACGGTGCATTTCTGCATGAATGTCTATGAGACACAACTTTTCATGAGATTCTACTTGATGTGATTCTTCTGCATGAAGGTCCATGAGGTGCGATTTTTGCATTAAATTCAGTAGGGTGCATTTCTGCATGAATGTCTATGAGATGCGACTTTGCATGAAAGTCTATGAGATGTGTTTTTTGCATTAAAGTCAGTAGGGTGCATTTCTTCATGAATGTCTATGAGACGTGACTTTACATGAAGGTCTATGAGATGAGATTTTTTCATTGAAGTCACTAGAGGCGTTTTTGCATGAATGTCTATGAGACATGACTTTGCATGAAAGTCTATGAGACATGATTTTGCATTGAAGTCACTAGAGGGCATTTTTGCATGAATGTCTATGATACTCAACCTTTTTTCTTATCAGCAAAATGCCAATGCTACCATTTATGGCCGATATGTTTCGGCTGCCGATATATCGGTGTATCCCTAGTTGCCAATAAATAGACTCTCCTTAAAGGGTATTATGGCCAAATATTTTTCTTAAGGGTCACAAGAATGTGCTTACTTTTGCTCTCCTGTGACTCAGGAGACCCAGATGACTCCTGTGAGTCAGCTAATAGTGGGCTATTGCACGCTGCCAGCTGGCGCCAAAGAGCTGCTCCAGGCTCCGGAAGGGTCCTGGCAATATTGTTGGGATCCACTCAGCTGCCAGATTGACAGTTGGCTTCGGTCATCAGCACATGGCTGAGAGCCGAAGCCAATTGCCCACACCTCCTATCCCAGCATTCCACTGAGAGCTGGAGGGGCAGAGTGAAGAATGGTGACTGACAGTCACTGCTCTCTGCTCTGAGAAGATTGTGAACTGAGAGATCAGTGGTCATGTGATCACTCAGTTCACTGGCTTAGAGCTGGCGGCAGACATCTGCAACATCCCAAAAATGTTATTATAACCTCTATCTACACTAATGGATGTATGATAGTGACGTGGTTTAGGTATAGCAACCAGGGTTGGGACAAGGGGTGGGCAGGAGGTGTGGCTGTCTGCCCTAGGCACTGTGGTATCATGTGAGTTGGGAGTGCACCATGAGGGGAGGTGTGCTAGGAGTGGTGATATGGGGGGAATTTCTGTTGGGAGGAGGGGGGATTTGTGCTCTAGGAGGGGAGATTTGTGCTAGAAAAGGTGAGGAGGGGGGTGAGGGGTTTGTGCTAGAAAAGGTGGGGATTGTGGGATGGAGTGGGGGGAGAGGATTGTGGGGATATTTGAGGGTTTGTTTGTACTAGGAGGGGGACATTTTTTTTGGGGGGGGGGCATATAGGGAGAGAGAAGATTTGAGCTGAAGAGATGGGGGGGGGGGGGCAAAGATTTGTAATAGGAAGGAGGACTTCTCAGTAGGGGGGGGGCAGATTTGTGCTGGGAGGAGGGAAAATTTATGCTTAGGGGGTGCGCATGCAGATTTGTGCTCGATTTGTTTTTTTTAGGGGGGGATTTTTGCTGACACATAATGCTCATACATCTTGGGCGGGGGGGGGCACAATTTTACTTGTTTGCCTGGGCTCTAGATGACCTTGTCCCAGCACTGATAGTGACCCTTCACTCTGTGACTACATTACCATTGTGATGTCTGAGTAGAAGCACCATATGGGATCGGGTACACTGGAGTTGAAGCAACAGCCCTTCTTGTAACAGTGGTCCATGCTAATGCCGGGGTAGCCGCAGTTCTCTCTCTGTTTGGGCAGGACAGCGCACTCGACGGTCTCTGTTACAGAAAATATACATTGTAAAGGGCTATAACTTGTATACAAGAACTACATTAAACACTGTTTGAGCACCCAATTCCATCTATTAAGATAATATAAAATTGGACTGAATGGGGACCTGCACTTTGCACACTTTGACTTTGACTTTTTATGTTTTAATTTTTTTTAGATAAAGCACAATTAGAACTTCTACTTTGTTTTCTGTCTGGAGCCCCTTTGGGAAGATTACTTCTCGCTTCCTATGCCTGTGACAACCAGTCAGACACTGATACACAGAGTGTCATTGAAACAGGAAGTAAAATAGGGTCTGGCAGACAGTATTTTCAAAGAGAGAGAGAAAGAACAGGAATGAAAGTTGCCATATTTCTCTTAGGAAAGATTTACTTTAACCACTGTTTACCCCCTTCCTGAAAAAGGACATTTTTTTGCTATTCAGCACTGCGCTACTTCAACTGGTATTTGCGTGATCATGCAACACTGTACCCAAATTACATTTATATAATTTTTTTTTCACAGAAGTAGAGCTTTGTTTTGGTGGTATTTGATCACCATTGGTTTTTTTTTTCTTTGTTTTTTTTTATATAAACAAAAAAAAATGAACATTTTGAAAAAAAAACTAAACATTTTTTTACTTTCTGTTATAAAACATATCCAATAATAAAAATGTAGAAAACAGATGTCTTCTTAAAGTGGAGTTCCGCTCACCCTGTCAAAAAAATAAGTCAGCATCTACAAAAACTGTAGCTGCTGACTTTTAAAAAACAGCCACTTACCTGTCCCTCGGTCCCTCGATCCTGTGGCGTGTCCCCCGCAGTCCGTTTCACCTGTCGTCCTGTATTCCAGGAGGTCAGCATCTTCAGTGTGGGCAACTGACTATGACAGCTTGCGGCTTCACAGCCAGGTACACTGTGCATGCGCGAGTAGCTCTGCGCTGCGCTTCATGAATGGTCCTGTAATTTTCTGGGACCTGTCACGTGTCCCAAAAGACTACAGGGAGTGAGGGGGGAAGCCACCTTTTGCTTCCGATCGCCTAGGCGATCGAACCAGAAGTGGGAGCTGGTACCTGTCAAATTCGGGTACTGCTCCCCAAAGGTGCCATCCAGGGCTAGCACAGGCAGCGACTATAAGAGGCCATAACTAGTTGGAGGCAGGGATGGCAAGGAATAATGTATCCAAGGTTCCCAAACCTTAAGGAATCTCAGATGAGAATCATGAAGAATGCTAAACATCTGTTCATTGATCAACATAGCATTCATCTGGGTCTTCACTCCCTGGAAGACAACCGAAGGGGTTCTCCAAGCTTGAGCTATAGCACGTTTGGCAGAAATAAATAGGTAGGATGCCAATTTCTTCTGAGACCTAGACAGACCCAAAAGTGGGCAATGCAGAAGGGCCACCCTTGCATCCCTACGGACCATAATATGAAAAGGCCTACTGATTTCTAATGGAGGCCAATTCAAAAATAGGTCTCCTCCCCTGCCAGACAGAGCTGTACTGAGTGGTAGAGCTGTGTAAATCTTAGGACTGAAGGGACATAAATACAAAACAGGTAAATTAGCTCCCATCTTGCATGTCTGCAGAAAGATCTTTGGTTAGAAAGAACCATGGACAACTGGCTATCAGTCAAATACTATGTACTGTACCTGCTTGAATTTCTGGCTGGTAACACCACACCACTTGGGGAATGCTGTCATCAAAGCAGCAACCTATGTCTGTGCAGTCCTTCTCTGAGATCCTGGGGTACCCACACTTGACTCTAGCCTTTGGCTCCGTTAGAGTACACTTAGTGGCTGCATAAAACAATTAAAAGAATCAGTACAGGAATCAACAGTCTTCAGCAATGAGGGCAATATACAGTATAAAGTGGTCTACACAATCAGGTTCCTATGTAGAACCTATCAGATCTCTCTAATTTGCTGTTGTGTTATTATACTGAAGCAATCTAGTTCCCACCAAATTAATCATTTGTAGGGACTATCTTCCTTTAGGAACCAAATCCCACTGTCCCTTCTTCTCAGATTTTCATCATGTATAGACTAATATTAAAAAATGCTACCACCAGAACTGTTGCACTACACATCTCACCTCTTTTATAGTGAGGAACAAAATGGATGGAGGGTCTGGACAATTAAGTGGAGAAAACAAGTCATAGAAGGGTTTAAATGTGAAGTTAGTGTGGAGGGGTGTAGGTCTTACCAGATTGCTGGTCGAAGGTCAGATGCCTCGATGTAGGTCTTACCAGATTGGTAGTTAAAGGTCAAATGCCAGGGTGTAGGTCTTACCCGATTGGTGGTTAAAGGTCAGATGGGAGGGTGTAAGTCTTACCAGACTGGTGGCTGAAGGTTAAATGGGAAGGTTGTAGGTCTTACCAGACTGATAGTTGAAGATCAAATGGGCAGAGTGTAGAGCTTACCAGATTGGTGGTTGAAAGTCGGATGGGCAGGGTGTAGAGCTTACCAGATTGGTGGTTGAAAGTCGGATGGGCAGGGTGAAGCTGCAAGGGTTATTCCTGTGAAGGCTGCTGGGTTTTATTCTGAAAAATGTAGGCGGAGAAGAATTTTCCCCAGCCACCTAGCCTTGATTTGAGGTTCGCTGGAAGTCAAGGGTTGTCTCAATTAAAAAAAAAATTGCCGCAGCAGCTTGGAAGTTCAAGGGGTCTATGGGAAGTTAGTAAATAGTTGAATTGTTACAAAACTGTGGGTTTACATGTTGAGGTTTATTTTTCGTTCAACCAGCGTGTTCAATGTAAAAAAACTCACAGAGTTATTGTATTCTGACAATGGGGACCCCTTCCCCCACCAAAATACAAAGATCAGCATGGCAGCCATTGGCTGCAAGTGCTGATGAAATGCTAGTTTTTGAGCATTACCATTCAACAGAGGCTGGCCGTTAGACTGGCTTCTGTTGAACAGACGGCCGTACACATGTACTGAAAGTCAGCTGGTTCAGTAGGTATTTTCGGTACCGGTATACCCAGGTTCAGAAAACTACATGAAGAGGTGGATGTTAGATCAGTCACAAGGAGAGTTCCTGTGAAGGATGCTGGGTACCCATTCTGAAAAGTTTTGATGAAGAAGAAAGTTTCCCCCACCCACCTGCCATCAATTTTGAGGTTCATTAAAGGTCATGGGTTTGTAAAATATCACAAAAATGGGTTGTCACAACAGCTTGGTGGGTCAGGGATTTTTTGGGGAGCCATAATTGAATTGTTAAAAACTGGAGGACCATAACCCAGTCAAAATACTATGTTCTGTATGAGGCTTTCATGTATGTCCTGGATAAATAAAGAATTAAAAAAAACCTGGAGGTCCATCTGGGGTATTGTGCTTCTGCTTGATTGGTTATTGATGGTTCTCCTGGGAGCTAGGCCCCCTGGTAAGAACATTTGAGTTTAGTAAAGTCTTTGAGCTGGTGAAGCTTGGCTGAGGACACGGATGATTCTAGTTATAACTGGTATCTTTAAAGACACCCCAATGGTTGCATTGCCAAAAATTGCTTATTGTTTGTTCTTTTAACATTATTTACTTAGTTGTTTTGACTGGCAAATAAAAATACTTCTGTGGCCATTTAAACCAATGTCCCACCGTTCTTGGTAATGAGAAGGATCTTGCTTGATGATTCCTTTAGTCATGAATGTATTATTTTAAATAGCGGATATAAAGGAAAAACAGAGGTGGAAGAAAATCACCTGTGGGTTTAACCAATAATTTGCTGCAGATTCATTCATGGCCTGCATAAGTGGGGGTGTAGCCGTGGTGTCTCCTTAGCCTACATTCTTTGTGCCAAAAGGTGTCACTCCTCTCCTTCTCAGAAAGGTATGTGGTAAGGCCCATAGAAGACCTTTTCTGGAAATTATTACAAGGATTTGTGTCAGTCTATGGCTGCCATGGTGGGCTGCTCAACCAGAATATACCTCATTATGCCAAAACAGCAACAATCACAGTAGGCTATGCACATTCTATGCCTGAAATCACTCCTAGCAGGAAACTGTCCAGCGCTCAGCCAGACCTCCATAAGCTTTAGTCATATGCTTCAATGCGGCTATTCACGTGCATTTTGCATAGGGTTTCCCTACTGCCTGCTTTAGTGCTTCACATAACAATGCACATTAAATGCATTTGTGCAATGGGTATACGTTCATTCTGAATTGCACACCAGCACACAGACATGCATCTGTGCAAACCTTGCTGGAGTGAAATGATGGCTTCCACAAACTAAGAGGATGATTTACTAAAATTGGAGAGTGCAAAATGTGGTGCAGCTATGCATGGTAGCCAATCGACTTCCAATTTCATCTTGTTCAATTAAGCTTTGGCAATAAAACCCAAAAGCTGATTGACTGCTAGGCAGAGCCGCACCATATTTTGCACTGTCCAGTTTTAGTAAATCATCCTCTTAGTTTCTGTTAGGGTTTACATCTACACTATATTGCCAAAAGTATTGGGCAGCCCTCCAAATCACTGTATTCAGGTCTTTCAATCACCTCCATGGCCACAGATATATAAAATCAAGCACCTAGGCATGCAGACGGCAAACATTTGTGAAAGAATGGGTCACTCTCAGGAGCTCAGTGAATTCAAGCGTGGTACCGTGATAGGATGCCACCTGTGCAATAAGTCTAGTCCATAATATTTCCTTTTCTGCTAAATATTCCACGGACAACTGTTAGTGGTATTATAACAAAGTGGAAGCAACTGGGAACAACAGCAACTCAGCCACATAAAATGAGAGATTGGGGTCAGTGCATGCTGAAGCACACAGTGCGCAGAAGTGGCCAACTGTTTGCAGAGTCAACTTGATGTGTCCTTCAGATTAGCACAACAACAGTGCATAGAGAGCTTCATGGAATGGTATCCATATACCACCCAAAACGTACTCTCTGCTCCTCACAAGACCTCCTACTCTCTAGTTCCCTGGTCTCCTCCTCCCATGCCCGTCTCCAGAACTTCTCCAGGGCTTCCCCCCTACCCCAATCCATCAGACTATCACCTACTCTCCTCTCCTTTAGGTGCTCCCTGAAAACCCATCTCTTCAGGGAAGCCTACCCTGTCCTCAACTAATTGCCAATCTCCTCCACTCTTCCCACTACTCCATCCCCCACAGCTATTTCCACCTGTACCACCATCCCCTCCCTCCTAGATTGTAAGCTCCAAAGAGCAGGGCCCTCGAACCCCTCGTGTATCGAATTGTATTGTTACTGTACTGTCTCGTGTACTGTCTCCCATTGTAATGTACAGCGCTGAGCAAACTATTGGCGCTTTATAAATACTGTATAATAATAATAATATTCTCTACCTTGGCTTGACACAGGGCACTTCACAGTCTAAGGGCATTGTTAATATGCAAATTAGCCTTCTTTTCATTTACATGCCCAGGATAATTTAAGGTCTGTACCCATTCTGATTTAAAGGGTAAATCTTTTGTGGCAAAAAAATGGCAAATAAGAAAAAAATAATATGGTGTATACAATTGCGACCCAAGTCATATTTTGATTGCATGTTTTTAAAAATGACCTTTCCTTTTCAATCTGCAGTGCTATCATTTTCTGTAAAATGCAATATGGCAACCTGGAGGCGTTCTATACACAGATGGTGTACAAATAGCCCCCCAAAAATGTCATTTCCTGTTTGTGTGATTGGCTCACTAATTTTCCCAGAAGTCTTCACTAAGATACAAGTCAGATTGTGGGCATCCCCTGCAAAAAAATGTCATTTTTGGTGAGATACTCCCAAAGGAAAATCATGTCTAAAGGGATGCTGACCCTGCCACTTTCCTCATTAGAATCCTGCAAGTGCAGCAGCTGATTGATAATTATAAAGTCTCCCCCCTTAGAATCGCTTTCCACACTGACACAAACAAACAGTTATTTCTTCAAAATAAAAGGTAAGGAATCTGCAACAAAAATGTGTTAAGATCCCTCCCTGCACATAGATCACCCAGAGGGGAATGTTTTTTCTCTCAACGAAAGTGGAGTTACTCCTTAAGTGTTACTAAACCCACAGCAGTAAAATCAGTCTGTATATGCAGTAAAGCATGCTTGTTATTACTTGTGGAACTTAAGGGGTTAATCTTCTGCATTGTGTATAAAGGCTGTTTGATCCTGACTTCTCTGATCCTCCCCTTCTCTACTGTACCCAATCCATCTGCTGATAGAACAGAGCCTTGGGGGCAAGCTGCACATGCTCAGTTTGATGTGTATTTGTGTATTGCTAGAGAGGTTTTTTTTTTTCTTCGGAGAGTGCATGTGATCAGCACAGGGTCAATCAACGCTGTCCAGACAGAGGGTCAGGGGTCATGCAGTGTTCTGTCTCTCCAATCTCAGCAATGAAAGTGTGATCTCTGTAACTTACAGCTACGATGAGATAGCGATAACTCCAATCTCAGTTGAATACCACAGTCAGTGATCCATACAGAAGATATCTTGTAGATCTTGTGAAGTTTATTCCATAAACTGAGAGAATCTTACAACAATGAACATCGGATAGGTCAAAAGATCATAATGTGACCTGCTTCATGACATGAGGCTAGAAGCTGCAATGCATTTCTGGGAAAAGGGCTGGGCTATCTATACAGCATTAACTAAAGCAAAGGAAAGGGAGGAGCAGAGACAAAATATAGAGAACACTTAAAGGCATATGACAGTCATGTGAAACATGACATGCAGCCTCATAGGACAATCAGGGGAGAATGAAAACCCCTCCTACAAGCTTTAACCAGTGCTGGACACTGATAGAAGTCACAAAGCTACTCTAACGGCTGATGAGAAAAGGTTTATATTTAATAATACAATTGCATTTTCATGTTCTGTGTACTGTGGGAGACCAGATATAGTGAATGCAGGATCCGGGAGACCAGATATAGTGAATACAGGGTCCAGGGAGACCAGATATAGTAAATGCAGGGTCCTGAGAGACCAGATATAGTGAATGCAGGGTTCGGGGAGACCAGATATAGTGAATGCAGGGTTCTGGGAGACCAGATATAGTGAATGCAGGGTCCGGGGAGACCAGATATAGTGAATGCAGGGTCCGGGGAGACCAGATAAAGTGAATGCAGGGTCCGGGGAGACCAGATATAGTGAATGCAGGGTCCGGGGAGACCAGATATAGTGAATGCAGGGTCCGGGGAGACCAGATAAAGTGAATGCAGGGTCCGGGGAGACCAGATATAGTGAATACAGGGTCCGGGGAGACCAGATATAATGAATGCAGGGTCCGGGGAGACCAGATATAGCGAATGCAGGGTCCGGGGAGATCGGATATAGCGAATGCAGGGTCCGGGGAGACCAGATATAGTGAATGCAGGGTCTGGAGAGACCAGGTATAGTGAATGCGGGGTCTGGGGAGACCAGATATAGTGAATGCAAGGTCCGGGGAGACCAGATATAGTGAATGCAAGGTCCGGGGAGACCAGATATAGTGAATGCAGGGTCCTGGGATTAGTAACACTTTAAGGCTAGGTTTACATCTATGCAGTTTGCATTTGATCTGCTTCTGCAGTGCATTTTGCGTTTCTGCACATGCTTTTTTTGGCGCTTTTTTGATGTGTTTTGCGGGGGGGGGGGGTTTGCCAACTTGTTGCTGGACAGATTAAAAATGCGGAACGCAAAGTGCATCAAAAGCATGCCAAAAATGCTTCAAAAGTGCACGCGAAATGTAGCACTTGCATTTTATATGCAGTTCCATTGAAGTCTATTGGACTAAAAACGACAACTGCTGCTGGAAAAGAAGTCCCTGACCCTTTCCAAAAAACATGCACACAAAAACTGCATAGATGTGAATGTGTCCCATAGGAAATCATGATAAATGGCATGCACTGCGTTCCTGCAAAACGCAAAATGCATTAAAAAACGCACAGGTGTGAACCTGGCCTAAGTGATGAGAGGTGCGCCGTATCTGGGCACGCCCACACCATGATGTCATCATGACTGACACGCAAAGCTTCTATTGGCTCCTAACAGCTCATAGCATGAATGTGAATGAATGTGAGCTATGAGACTGTAGAGTGATGAGGTCAAACCTTTATCTTTTGTTAAAATTCTTTCACAGAGATATGACAGTTGAGGAAGCCGAAGGACAGCAAAGGTTTATGGTCAGGCTACGCGGTCTGTTTCGGTGTAAATAATGATGTGTAAGTACAGCTCTGTGTTTGCTCAAGGCATGCCTGCAATCTGTTAATGTTGATTCTCCCACTATATCACATGGCAGTCGGCTCTCAGCCTCTCTTACTCTTCCAATAAAATAATACTTTCTAATATAATTTGGACCTGACATGTCGCAAGTACATTCTGTTGTCGCAGAACTTACCGGATTATTCTTCACCCTGCAAACCTATTTAACCGCTTTCCTGCTGCCCTAAAGTGGATATACTGCTACAGGGCAGCAGGGGTGCGCAAAATCACGTATGTATATATGTGATTATGCATTTCCGGGTAGGGAGGCATGCGCAAGCCCTACCCGTGCTGCTATTCACGGCCTCGGCTATCAATCACTGGGTCCTGGCTGGTGATTACTCGCCGACACCCGGTGATCACCGAGCATTACCGACGGAGGCAGAGAACTGTATGTAAACAATACAGATCTCTCCCCTGTGAGCTCTTGCACACTGCTTTGTATGGCTCTGCATAGCATCTCTGATGGAGGAGAGACCTGTGTATAAACAACACAGATCTCTTCCCTGTCAGCTCCTGCACACTGCTTTGTATGGCTCTGTATAGCAGAGCCATACAAAGCAGTGTGCTTACAGTGAAGCACACACACAGCCCCCATAGTGTAACAGCACACAGTTAACCCTTTGATCGCCCCAGATGTTAACCCCTTCCTGCCCAGTGCCATTAGTACAGTGTCAGTGCTCTTTATTAGCACTGATCACTGTATTGTTGTCGCTGACAAGTCAGTTCCCCCCAGTATCAGAATGTCTGCCGCAGTCCAGCTAAAAGTTGTTGTGATCGGCGCCAATTCCAATATATATACACCGCCATTTGTAAACGCTATAACTTTCTTGTAAACTAGTTAATTTACACCTATTGGGGTTTTTTTTTTTTTAGCAAAGACAGGGAACAGAATACATTTTAGCCTAAATTTATGAAGAATTTTGATTTTTTTACTGGGCATGTTTAATAGAAAAAAGTCAAAAATATTGTTATTTTCTCAAAATTGTTGGTCATTTTGTTCATAGCGCAAAAAATTTAAAAAGCACAGGCAATCAAATCTCACCGAAAAAATTTGCGGAGAAAAAAAAAGGACAGAAATTTAATTAGGGTGCAGAGTTGCATGACCGCGCAATTGTCAGTTAAAGTAATCGCAAAAATGTCCTGTGCACGAAGAGGGGTAAATCTTCTGGAGGGCGAGTGGTTAAAGGCTACGTGTGCATGGACACCTGGGATAACCTGCTGGGGGAGTTTACTGGCTGTAGGAAAAAACACCAAAAAGCCGCTGTAAAAACGTCTGTGTGTATGAGGACTTATGGGCATTGGCTGTTGCGCAACAATACACAACTACAGGATTGCCATCAATTTCTGTTGAGCCCATATACATGGAAAAAAAAGAACAGGGGCTTTTTGGTGCAACAATGTGAATTTTTAGCCTCATAGACTTTAGAGAGAGTGCATGAAAAACGCATCACAAAAGTATTAAAAATAAATATAAAAAACACGGAAAATCCATGAAAATGCAGAACAGGTGTGAAATAAGATCGATCGATCTGTCTGTCTGTCTGTCTATATGTAATCTATCTATCTACATTATCTATCTATCTATCTATCTATCTACATTATCTATCTATCTATCTATCTATCTATCTATCTATCTATCTATCTATCTATCTATCTATCTATCTATCTATCTATCTATCTATCTATCTATCTATCCATCCATCCATCTATCTATCTATCTATCTATCTATATCTATTCTATCTATCTATCTATCTATCTATCTATCTATCTATCTATCTATCTATCTATCTATCTATCCATCATGTTTGTTGTTGTCTGTAGCATTGACGCTATCTCTCTCTACCACCATTTGACCATAGTACCCTATATCTGTATAAATAGATTTGAGTACACGGTTTAAAATTTAGTTTTATAATATAACCTTATAATAATGTCATTTTAACAGTTTGTATCAATTGCTATATCCTCCATATTACGAAAATCCCTATTCTAGGGACACTTACAGTTCACAGGTGGGTACGCCTCACTCCCTATGATGAGGGCAGCCACCAACAAGCAGAGGGTGTAGCGTTCCATCGCTGTTCTCCTGTGCAGCCAAGGAAAGTGTGCTGCTCTCCTCGCAGACAAAGTTTTATATCAAAGTTTTGTTTGCTTAATTGGTGTTGATAACCTCTTCTTTTTTTTTTTTGCTGTAATGAGTAAAGCACACAAGCCGGATAATATTTTCTCAGATGATGGAGATAGGGACATGAGGCTTTGTGCAAGGGTTTATGTGACAAATATCTTGTGATTTTTTTATCTCGTGATAAGTTTTGAACTAAGTTTACCGTCATCAAATATCAGATAGCTGAACTGCAATTTCATGCACGGTCTTTGCAGCTATTTCTGTCCCCAATGAAGTCATTGGTTTATTTGGCCCATTTATGGCCCATACACATGATAAGAAGATTGTACGAACATTTTCATACAAGGAACGATCAGCCGATTATATGATTGTTAGCACTGTGCTTTGGACAGACAATTCCAACTTTTCAGAGGAAAAAAAAACTGAGGGTGTAAGCTAGAAATTTTTTATCGGACGTGAACACTGATGTCTGATCATCGTTTAATTATTTTGCTGCCAGCGCTGTTTTTGCATCTTTTGCAGAAATATGACTACAAGGCGGCACCGGTGCGAAAACCATGTATATATGTGATTTTGCAGTCCCGGGAAGGGGGCGCATGCAAGGCGTGAGCCTGCCCGCACCCTGCCCTCGCCCTCACCTTGGCTGTCAGTCACCGGGTCCCTGCTTTTATAGTGAAACACTGTATGGTGCGTTTTTAACCCTGCAGTGCCCCAGGAGGATGCATTTTAATGTGAGTTTTACTAGATTGTTTTAAATAAAGGTTATTTTGAGTGGAAAATCTACAGAAAATACGATGAAATTGCCAACAAAAAGCACAATTTTAAATCGCATCTAGTGTGAACCAAGCAGGCAATTCAACAAAGGAAATAAATCTTTGAAGGCATGCGGTATCTGCATGCTCGGATAAGGGTCTGTTATGGATTTGGGGAGGGGGACTCCATGCCATAATTTTATTCTTTTTTTTTTAAAATCCTTTTCTCTCTCTCGCTCACTCTTCTCTTGGTTTGACAAACCTTCCCAAAAGGGGGTGGAGTACAAACCAGCATTATCAAATCAATCAATAGTCCAGGCCCTTATCTCATCCTATCGTTTGACATTCACATAAGGTGCAACTTTAAAGGTGTATGAACAGACAAGGCCTCATTCTAATTCACATTCTAGGATCATTTAGACCGAAATAAAAGATGCTGCCACCAGCACATGTATGTTAGGGTAGTCACACATAAATCATGCAAATTCATTGCCGTGGTTGGGATTCAAACCAACAACCCTAGCGTTGTGAGGCAGCAGGGCTAACCACTAAACCATGGAGCTGTTGAACACTAATCTAGCCTGTATTTCTGTGGTGTGAATCAACCCTAAATCCCTGGGCAAAGTCAGTGTAACTAGCCAGATATCTCCAATGTGACACAAATGTTGTGCTATGTTGCCAATTCAGATGTATGTTGGTTCTATGTATCCAATACAAAGGATTACAATACTAATACAGGCGTATCGCGGTTTACCAATGCCTCGGATAAGGTAATTTTTGGTTTACGAATGAAAATCCATTGAAAATAATGCCTTGGTTTACACAATTGTTAATAATTTTTTTTTGCAATACAAAGTGTATGTTGGCGCCAGGGGTGGACTGACAACTCATGGGGTCCCCGGGCAATAGGGGATCATGGGGCCCCTGTGTCCTTGCCCAAACTCAAAAAAGCCTATGAAAAAAGGTACCAGGGGCATCTCCTGGGGCCCCCTACTGGTAAGCGGTTAAAGGGTGATATGACCTGTCGCAAACATACGCACCAGAGATTGACGCAGTCTGCCATTTTGTTAAGAGTAGCATGTTATTCCCTCATTCTCCTTCCCCCAAATGGTCAGTCCGCCCCTGGTTGGCGCTGATTTTCAAATGCAAATGCCAGACTTTTTTTTTTCTTCGCTATAGTTCACAAGCGTAGAAGTCACTTTCCCCAAAGTTACCGAAAACTTTGTATATTTTAGTAAACATTGTTTCCTTT